CAAATAAATTCCCACAATTGAGTCACGTATAATATGTAGAATATTAAGAGAGAAATACCGCCTATTAACACTTCTCTAATATCCTTCCAAATAATTTACAGAATGGTTGTCCATCAACACCTACCAATCGAAGAACAACTGAGTTACATACCAATGTGCATTGACAACTTATGCATTATTACATGAGTAAATTTCGGCCTTACTCAAGTTACATATGTGCGTAAAAGGAACAAGGAACAGGAGCAAAGAGTAAAGACAATCCTTAACTCCCTCAATTCATATATAAGCACATCAAACAGACATCCTTACAGCATCATAAATACTTGAACTTTTCGTTTGTGTGCCGAAAAAGCGGGACACTTTTTCTATTTAATAAAAAACAAAGGACCCTGGGGTGCTGTAACCAAATTAGTAAATCACACAAAAGGCAAAGAAAGGAAAACAGAAAAAAGGACAATTTGAGAAAATTCGTGGAATTTTTACGCCTAAAATAATAAGCAAATTGCATAAGTAATTCTGATAAGCCAACGGCACAGAAAGTAATAGACGATTGACAGTACGGAACGACTACGGGAACAAGTGTCAAGTGTGTTGTACTGTGTGTGTGGCACTATTAACGATACATTGTGTGATTAAGTGATATAGCCTTTTGATACCGTCAGCACAATGAATGAATGAAATTTTCATTTGTGTAAATGAAAATATTTATATGAAAACAGAAGTGACCCGATATTGTATTGTGTTGCGTTTTTCATCGCTGTATTGAGTTGCGTCTGTGTTGTGTTTGCCTTTAAATGAGTGTGTTTGGTATGTACGTAAGGATGCTAATTGACATGGGTTCACACCAACATACACAGCTAATTATACTGTTTTGTAATTAGTGGTAGCATACGTAATACAAATTAAATATATTTAAATTGTACGATATTATTAATTGTAAAATTTTTTATAAAATTATTTTTAAATTACTATATTTCAAAATGGAATGAATAAATTTAAATTAACTTAATTAAACTTAATTAACTTAAAGACAAAAAGAGAACGTTTTGTGAATAGTAAAAACGTAATTTGATATGATAATTATTACAGAAATAAAATGAAATAATCTATGTTGAATATAATACATTAGCAAGATTGTTATTTTTATTATTTAAAAATATTATTATGAAAATAAAATAAATTTATTTATACTAAATTGAGTATAATTCATTAACAAATTTGTAATTATTTAAAAACAAAAAGAAAAGGAAACAATTTATATTAAATATAATTCGTTTATAAATTTGTAATTATTTATAAATATTATTATAAATAGTATTCAAAAGTTAGTTCAAAAGTTATAAAACTTTTGAACTTCCCTAAAAAATTTCAAAGAATATTAATTTTATTAACTAAAATTTATGACAGAATTTGTAATTATTTATAAATATTATTAAAATTAAATGAAGTTATTTATGTTGAATATAATAGATTAAGAAATTTGTTATTATTTATAAATATTGTTATAGAAATAAAATGAAATTATTTATGTTGAATGAAATAGATTACTAAATTTGTTAATATTTATAAATATTATTATAGAAATAAAATAAAATTTTTTATGTTGAATATAATTGATTAGTAAAGTTATAATTATTTGTAGATACTAATACAAAAATAATATTAAACTATTTATTTTAGAGTAGTTATGAGTTTACTTTTTTAAATCTTTCTGTTTTATGAAAAGGTTTAAGTGAATAAAATGAAAAAAAAATTTTATTTTATTTTTATTTTTTTTTCTTTTTGTCCTCTCTTATTTATTTTGTAGGGCACAATAGATCTTTATGTCGCAGTGCACAATCCCTTCTTTTTTTTAAATATTTATTTTGTATATAATTTATACGGAAATATAAATATTATTACAGAAATAAAATAAAAATTATTTAGTTTGATAATAATTCATTAATAAATTTGTAATTATTTATAAATATTAATACAGAATATTAAATATATTAAATTTTATATATATATATTATATAGAAAATATAAAATATATTAAAATTGGAAATGATTTATGTTGAATAAAATACTTTCGTGGATTAAATTGTTATTTACCTTAACAAATATTTTCTGACTAATTAGGTAATGACTTTGAGATTTCTTTAAAATCTGTAAGAACTAATACTTAATTAGAGTATTATCATAAATATATTTTTAACGTCAAATTTGATAAAAGAAACTGAATTGTAAATATTAACTATTATTTTGAATAAGAGTTTATTATCGAGTTGAAATCAAACTACAACAAAAACTTTGTTTATTATTTTTATTGTTTTCAAGTATTAACATAATAAAAATTAAATCATTTGAAAGAAAATGTATTTCATCCAACCTTTTGAAAATATATTAAATATTTTACTATTCACATAACAACAACAACAATACCACAGACATATACTAAAATATATTTTTACTTATAATAATAAAATGATAGCAGAAATCACAAGACGATAGCTACAATGTTTCTAGGACACAAACTGAATAATTCACATATAAAAATTATTATCTACTGATTTGTTTAAAATCGTACATGAAATGTCAGTAACATTATGAGGCATAATGTCGACAACATTTAACAGCATCACAACATATATACTTAATCCTTACAATTTTGCACTGCTTCTATCTAGAATTTTAAACTATGCCATCACTGACATCCTAGACAATGTGTCACTTGGTTGTTGTTATTGTTATTGTGTTATTTCAGCACTACTGTTCTATTACTGACATTCCCTGCAGATTCCTGCTAGCAGATACATTCGCTACATGTGTTGTGTATCGTCATCAACAGCGTCATCATCGTCACACTAAGTGTTGTATCTACTTCAAAAACTCATCACCAATAAAACGAGAATATATACACAAATTCGCTGTGACGATAATAGAGCCAAAAATAGGGAAAAAGATTTTATCGAAAGAAATTTAAAACAATCAACACAAGAATAGCAGAATACCCAACAGCTCATTTGGCTTGACCAGCGGCATATGAAAATTGTGTGTGCGCCACATATCCTGCTGCGTCTGATAATTGTCCTTGCAAAAGGCGCATACATGTGTGTAAATTAAAAAAAAAATATAAATACATGTATATGAAAAAAAAATTTTCAAAAATAAAAACTACTTTAAACTCAATTTCATCGACAATTGCAAATAATTTGTAAAATATTTTTTTTACATATTATATGACTCAATAATCAAATAGTAAAGTTCAAGTATTTCAAATCAATATGTCAATTCAATATAAATTTATATTGATTTAATTACTTTTGATACACGAAATTTGAATTCATTTCGCAATTTATTGATGTTGTTATCAATAATTAATCTAATAAAGCTTCGTTTTAAAATAAAAAAAAATTGTAAAAATATTATCAACACAGAATGCATGCCATTTAAATATAAGTCAATTTAGTCTCATAATAAAATCCTTGTATTGAAGTTAAAAATAATTTAAGGCGTATAATAATGATAGCTAAAAATTGAAACTGTTTGCTCATGAAAAGTCAAGATCTAGGCACAGAAATAAATCGTAATAATTAAAGGCATATAATTTTAATAGATAGGACTTAAAACCTCATTATTGCCTCATATTTCCAAAAAATCAAAGAAGTCATTTCGACGAAAGATAGCAAGTCGAGTTCCGGACATATAAATGTTATGTACATAAAAGATTATAAAATAAAATCGTTGTCTACACATTTTAATTGAAGCATTAACGAATGTTAACAAAAAAGAAAGAATAAAGATTGCTTAGAACCTTTCTTAGACCAATTAAGCTATATTTCTGAATTTTGCTAATGTTTCCCAAATTTCTAAACATTTTGCGAGTTAAGAGGATTCAGTACTGTGTAATTAAACACAAATATTTAATATTAATATGTGATAGTATTTATTACTAATAATTAATATTAAAAATCGTATTAATCACAAATACTTTTATTGGGATATAATGTTAAAGAGCAAAAAGTAATTATATTCTTATATTTTTTGCTTATTATACTTACATTTATTTTCTTAATAATTTAATAAATTATTTATTCTTTTTCTACTACTTTTTATATTTTTTTACATTAATTTAACTGAATGTATCGGTACAGTTAGTGCCTAATAGCATAAATTTTATTATCTCAGACATTTTCTAGACTAAAATTATGTCGACACCAATATCAATTAAATTTATTATTTAATATGCACTTAGCCTTGAGAAGACAATATCATATTAGAACGACAGGAAGTAAACTAGACCATTAAACCAATAAAAGTTTTTCATTCTGAATATAATGTGTTTTATAGTTTTGATTTTTATACTCACATATGCATACATCATTACGTATATTGTTTAATATATTGCCAAATATATTATTAAATATATTTTTAATATATAACAAAGTATATAAATCACGATATTGCCGTATGCTCCAATAGGAAGCACAGTTAAACACACATCTGTGTATTTGTTATTATTACAGAATTAAAAAAAATTTAAACTGTGAACAGTATATATATAAAATGTCTGTATATATGTACTTGCCTTGTTATTACAGTTGTATTGTACAATTATTTCTTTGTCATATGTATTGAATTATTACTATATAATAAATAAATATCGTCACTATATCAGTACCTGAAGATGACCATAGACTATAGTCAAAATATTGGTGACAATTAAATATATATTTTAATATTAATTGTATATTATTTAAACTATTCACAAATAAAATTTAAAAAATTTAAAAAGTATTTAATTCAATTTTTTAACATATGCATATATTCATATCTGCTAGCAATAATAAATTATTTTAATTTTAAATCCATTATGGTGTGAATAAGAATATTTTATATTTCATAATTAATTCAATGCCATAAACCAGTATAATTTATTTTTAATAATTAATATTTACTTTGACGTATATTTATTTATATTTTAATATATATTATATTAATTTATATTTATTTTAAAATCACTTACCGATTTGTGGTACATCGTACTGCCTCTGTCCTCTCGCTGTTCGCAGCATTAATTGGCTTGCTATGCTATGACTGACCGGTGGTCCACCATAACCACCCGCAACACCTCCGGACATGCTTGAACGTTTGTGACTGGGATGTGCTAATTCTTCATCCTGCTGTTTAATTAGTTCATCTTGCGTGGATGCGCTGAGTGTGTTGCCAGATTTGGTCTTTGCGTCGACATCAACCTTTTTCTTGTCGTTACTAGAATTTTCATTTTTCTCTGATTGATTTGATGTTTGTTGAGCTTTTGTGGAAATTGAAGTTGCACCACTATCAATATCAGCTTCATCTGTAGCTGGCTTTCCATCAACAGAGAAGGAGGAACTTAACTTTGTAGCACCCACATTATCTGCAGATTTGCCAAAATGCTTACTTGCAGTTGCTTCAGAATTGCCAATCGATAATTTTGACAAATGTGGATTATATTGATGTTGTAGCTGTTGTTGCTTTGAGCGTCCAAAAATGTTGCGTTGCAATTTTGGTTGTTGCTGCTGTTGTTGTTGTAGTTGTGCACGTTTGCGTTGCCATTTCTGTTGCATGCGTATATTAAATGCATTTCTCTGTTTGCTATTACCCAATGATGGATTGTGCTCCTGATCAGCTTGTGTTTGTGAATGTTTATGTTGTCCACCAATATCAATTGTTTCTTTGGTATGTGATTTAGCAAATAAATCTTTCCCATTAGATTCAAATTTTTCAATTTTATCATAGGGATTTTGTTTATGATGCGTTCCATAGTAACTGTTGGTAAATGTTGCAGCGGGTGATTCTTCCCAACCTTTATTTTGCTCGGCCAATAATTCATCCAAATACTGATAACCATCCAGATCAGGTAACATATCATCAACATCGGGTACAGACTCCAATTCCATGAAAGTATCCAAATCAATATTTTGATTATCATACTCATGATCAGCGGGCTGTACGATACGTCCATAATCATATTTACCAGGTCGATGTCGTACAGCTAAGCCACCGCCATCAAATTCTTCGGTCGAATCATAGTCATCGTTTTGTGTCGGCTGTTTGACTACATTGCCAAACATTAAATCTCTAGCCTGTTGCATTAATAAAGCCGGGTAGTCAGTTTCAATATCATCGGCTGGTGTCATTTGTATACGACCAGTTATAATGGGACGACCATGATGACCAGTGGCAGCAGCGGCAGTTTGCTTAGCCAAACCAAGTAGCATTAAACGTTCACGTTCCAACTGCGCCATATCAGCCAATTCATCACTAAGCCGACTATGCGGCATATCTAAGCTGCCATGGGTGCTCTTCTGTTGTTGTTTTAAGCCGCTGCTAGAAGCAATGCTACTGCCACTGCTGCCACTATTGCCACTGGATCTGCTACTGCCTATATTGCTGCTACCGCTGCTGACATGTGGTATGTGTTGTTGACTGCCAGCAGCGGTTAGTACACTTAACATATTATTTGCATTAGCAATGTTGCTACTATGCTGTTCACTCTGTATGCCACTGGGTGCTTGATGTATGCCACTATTTCCCGTGTTACCAGTCAGATGCAGTGCATATAAACCGCCATTGATTAGTAACACACAGACAATCGTCTGTACCAGTGAGAAAAGCATTTTCTTTTTATTGCTTTGCTTTAGTTTCTCAAGTAGTCGTGGTATTTTTGTGATATTTTCCTTCACTTTGGGTGAAAAGAGCTCAGTTTGTGATATCTGAGATTCTACTATTTTGATTTAGTAATGCAAGAGAAAATGCGTTACAATTAGTGTTAGTTAAATTTTGAGATTTTGTAGTTAATTGTGCGCAAAGGGACTTTTGCGAAAGGTGTTTGTTTTTTTTTTAAGTTTTGTAATTGCACTACAATTTCGCTAGAAATATTAAATCTCAGCCAAGCTTAAATGTCCACATACTTTAGCGCTCTATTTAGTGGGTGTTGTTGTTTCTACTGTATCTTGTTTGGTTTTATGTTTTCTTGTTTTCTTGTTGAATTTATATTTGTTTTGCTCTTACTAAGCGTTTACTGCTTCCTTATTGTATGTTTTGGCAGAAATATACTTTTCAGCAAGTTTTTCATATACTCTCTGAACCTTTTTGTTAGCCTAATTTGTTGCTTGTTTTTGCCAAAAGTGTGCTTGAGCGCCGTTCCTTTTACGCTTCTTTAAGTATGTTATCCTTATTTTTGCACAGGACATTGACTTGAAGTGCTGCCAAAAGAAATATTTTGCTTACTAAAACTCCGCTTGCTTACTTAACCCAAGTGAGTTTGTGTTTAGATTTAGAATAATTTTCACAATGTTTTTACTGCTCTATGCTCGATTATTTATGTTTTTCGCCCGCCACACTGAGTACTTCCTCTTCCTCTTCTGCTGTCGTTGACTATGATTTGTTTTTTCTTTTTTCTTTTGTTTTTTGTTTTTTGTCTATTTGCTTTTCGGTTTATGCAATTTATATCACCGCTTTACTTTTACTCTGATTTTCGTTACAGACTTCCTCTTTTGTGCTCGAACTACTTACAGAAATCTTTGTTTGGCTGACTTGACTGGTCTGTTGCTGTTTATCTTTTGTCCCACTTGAGCTGATTGCAAATGTTTCGGTCTGTGCGCCTTCTTGGGTCGACTTCGGTAACAGTAGTCGCAGTAGTCGCAGTAGTCACAGTGGTAACAGTTTCTGACTCGTTTTACTTGACGGTGTCAACTAGCCAACTCGTATGTCAACACAGACAAATCAATAATCAATGCTTTGAGCGCTACCACCAATTTCTGTGACGTCTGTACAGTAAGCAAGGAGTCCTGCTCGCTACTTTTGTTACTTTCTTTTACGAAACTTCAATTTTCAACAGAAACTGTGGGATTTCTCTTTTTAGTACGCAACTTTCGGTAACAATTTCGAGCAACAATTTGGGTAGTAAATTAACTACTTTTATGCTATTTCGATAAGTTTAATTTTATTGGGTATGATTAAGTCAATACAATATAGTAAATGTGTCTTTATCTACTTTGATATTAATAATAACGCAGTTTAGTTGAGTTAAATATTCAGTAGACCTACTTTAGATAAGTGAAGAATATTGTATTATACCTTTTTCTCTGCAGCACTTCTTCTCTGGGTTATCTGGGTTTTCTTTATTTTGTGATTGCAACTGGATTTAGATATACTGTTAAGCTTTTTAAGGAACTTTCTGTTATATAATATTGCAAATTTGTAACTGAGCTACGGTTGTTAGTTTTCTTCTTAACTTTTTTTCTTTTTTTCTTTTGCTTTTCTTATATTTTCTTTAATGTTATTATATAATATTAGCTTGACTTAATCTACTTTTCTTCAGAGTTCACGCACTTTTTAACACCAGTTGATTCAGTTTGGTGTTGTTATTTGATTTTTGCTCCTGAGGCTCCTTACAAATAGCTGGTTACTTTTTTTTTCAAAAAATAAAACAAAAAAAACCAACTTATATTATTATTTTGGTTTCTTTTTTATTGTTGTTGTTTTTATTATACTTCAAGTATATTACGTTTAATATTTATGAGCTCTTTTTCACATATACACATGCTCTTATTGTTAATAAGGACTTAGTTCCGCGTACACTTACAGTTTTTGCTTCACTTTCTGAGTTCGTTTTTTGTGTCCTGTTTTTGTGGATTTACGTTTTGGCCAAAAGTTTCAGTTAATAAAACCGTTATATTTTGTTGCACAAAACCAAAAAGTATATTTTACATATATTTTTGGAATATTTTTCGGCTTTTATGTAATTTTATTACATTGAGTTTTTCACACTGTTTTCTCTGTGTCCTCCTCACTGTGGCTATTTTTAACCAAGAACGAACGATACGCTTTTGTCCCAAGAGGTTGGTATGCCTAACCTAACGGTTTTTCTTTACGGATTGGGTTTTGTTTGGTTTAGAATGAAATTATTTTTTTTGGTAAGATTCTTTTTTTATATCTTATTTTTTTGTATCATATTTTTTACATCTAATTTTTTGTATCTTATTTTTTGTATCTTATTTTTTGTGTCTTATTTTTTGTGACTTATTTTTTGTATCTTATTTTTTGTGTCTTTTTTTTGTATATTATTTTTTATATATTTTTGAGTATATATAAATACTATATGCCGACGTTTTGTGTTTATTTTCGCCTTGTAAGGAGTGTGAATGGCTTACACAGCCAGCAATAAGGAACAGCAAATTTGTTTTATTGTTGCCTGCCTTGACGGTTTGTTAGAGTTCTTGAGACTTGAGTCGTCCTAGAGTACCGTATTATAATTTTTTATATATTACTTACATATATTACTGTTGTTGCAAATAGACATAATAGCAAAATCTTTAGCGTTAGGTTGTTAGATTGTTACAAGTGTAAAGGCAAAGATATGAGATATATTGCTATTTGACTTCCTGTTTACTAATTTTTAACTAGCTTTTGACACTTTTAGTTTCAGTACTGTTTTGAATATTATTTTTTCAGTAAATTTGAAATTTTGTTAAAAATTAAATTCAATGGCATTAACACTTTAGAAGAACAACTTAAAAAAATTTTTAATTTTAGAAAGTATATAAAGAAATGTAAAGTTCACTTTTTATTATGAAATAAAATTTTTAAGCAAATGTTAATAAATTAATAATTTTTTTTTTGTGCACTTAACTGTTAACTGGCTTACTGTTGAAATTCAGTGGTTTGAATATGAAAAGCACTTGTTTCAGTATGAATTAAAAATGTTTGAGTGAGTAATATTTTCTTAATATTTTGTTTCTTAACTGTTTGGAAATTTTTACACTTTTAAAATAACAAAAAACACTTTAAGTATTTAAATTATTTTTTTTTTTTAATTATATTTATATCAGCTTATTTTTGAAGGAACTTTACTGTGCCCGTTGTCTTTGATTTTTATTTTTAAATATATATATATATATAATTTTTTTGAATCTTGCTCTAAGCAACTTTTGAAAATGGTTGTTATATATTAAATATAATACTTCTTATAACAACACTAGAATTGTACTGCCTTGCTTTTACTTTTCTCAGACCTATTTAACCGGCACTTAAAATTTTTGAAATAATTTTTTCGCTTAAAATTTTTACTTTAAAAATTTGAATTTTTTTCCAACACTTTTAATTCTTGAAAATATCTTAAAAATGTTCACATTTATTCTATCCGTTTAAAAAATGTCACAATAATTGTCCTTCCTAACGTTTGAACCGACGAGCAAGGACTCGCCGTCTCAGCAGGATTCGCCTGTATGTCTACTGTGTGTTTCGCTGGCTGCTGCTGAAGTCATTCGTATTTCACACTTGGTTTTTTGTCTTTTCCTTTTTATGTATACGTTTTTTATACTTTACTCGCGTTCGTTTCTGTGTTTGTGTGTTTGTGTATGTTGTTCGTTTATACAACAATGTTCGTTCATCTATAGCAGTTATTTTTGTAGTCGCCCGTTGCTCGTGTTTCTCCACGACGACACGACATTTGCGTTTGTATGCTCAACGCTAACAAATTACTTGCTCAACCACTTGTTTTTAACAGGAAAACCGTACTAAGTGGAGATTGTGTAGAGAATTTTCAAATCGCCCGCCGCCACCCTGCAACTCCTAAAGACAACTTGACAGAGCATTCGAACGAACGACTGTAGCCGGTCGTTCGTTTCGTGTGTTGCCTGCCTTGTGTGAAACCAAACAACTACAGACTTAAATTTAAAAATGTATTCCTCTTTTGGTGTACACGCGCATTACAAAATTTTCCTTTAATATTTTTTTTTATTTTCATATTTGTTATCCTTTTAATATTTGAGTGACAACATTTTAGGTTGGGGAATACTTTTCGAAGAATTTTGTAGAATTGAGAATTATTTTGACTTTTGATAGTCTTTTCTGCTAACTGCAAATAAAAATGTGAGAACTGACAGTTAAGTTTTAAATTCAAATAAATAAAAATAAATAAATTTACTATATAATATTCTTTTGAGAATTAAAAATATAAAATTTCACTAATTATTATTAAAAAAATAAAAATCGACTATTAAATTTAAATTCAAATTAATAAAACTAAATAAAGTTAATATAACATACTTTTAAAAATTATAAATAATTTAAATTTGAATTCACATTAATAAAAATTAAATTTTAATTCAAATAAATAAAAAATAAATAAATTTAATATAACATACTTTTAAAAATTAAAAATATAAAATTACAGTGATTGTTAATAAAAAAGAAAAAGACTATTAAATTTAAGTTTGCATTAATAAATATTAAAAAATTAAAAATAATTAAATCAAAAAAATTAAAAATAGATAAATTTAAATTAAATTTCAAATATTTTTAATAATTAAGACTATTAAATTCTGCTAATTGCAAATAGAGAATTAATAAGTTATTTTACTGTAAAATTTAAAATTCGAGAAAACATTTACATTTAACTTAAAATATTTTCAAAAATTAAAAATATCAAATTCTACTAATTGCAAATAAAAACAAGACAAAAAAAAATAGAATGGTATGTAATTTAAAATATTTTTGAAAATTAGAAATATCAAATTCTACTGATTACAAATAAAAAAGTAATAAATAACTGTTAAATTTAAAATTCAAATAAACAAAGATATATAAATATAATTTAAGATATTTTTAAAAATTATAAATATTAAATTCTACTGATTGCAAATTAAAAAATAATAACTGACTATAAAATTTAAAATTAAAATAAACAAATATAAATGAATTAAAACTAAATTTAAAATATTTTTAAAAATTAGAAATATTAA